GGATACACCAGAGGCCAAGAAAAGGCAGTAAGGATTCTTCCCTAGAGACTTTTTTATAAAGAGTATGGCCCTGCCAACACCCTTATTTTGGACTTTTTGTCTCCAGAACTGTGAAAGAATAAATTTCTGTTGTTTTTAAGCCACTCAGTCTATGGTGCTTTGCTCTAGCAGCCCTCGGAAACTAACACACTAATGCACAAATAACAATATAGATTTGAACCTGATTTTTTAAATTGAGGGAGACTTACTTTCCCCTAGGTTATATGTACCCAGCATATTGGAAAGACAACAGGTAATTTTCTAGGGAACTGATTGGCTCAAAATCACCCTGGATGATTTTTTTCTAACATTTCTCTGAGTATACCGTAAGAGGATAAAATAATGTATCTAAAGAACAAAGAAAAAGTTAACATTTTTGATGAACTGAACAATGTACTGATTTGGTAACCTTCAAAATACTGGTCAACATATTTACTTAGCCCCAAGAAACAACTCTAAATTGGTTTAATAAAGCAAATTAAACTTCACATAGGAAAATCAAATTACTGGAACAAATGAGGTTTTCAAAAGGACACAAAGGAAGTTTTTTTGTTTTTTTTTTAACTTCATAAAAATTAACTTTAATGTGAAAAAAATTAATCAAAGGTTCCAAAGACTTGACTGCAAACTAACTTGCTGGTGGGGGGTGGGGGAAGGGGGGGAAGTATTTCTTTTTTCCAGTTTCAGTGGCATTAGTCATACTATTAATAACTAAACTTTTATTTTCTGAATTTGTAAAGTTGAAGGCATTCTAAGTTTCCAAAGTAAATGTAATTATATACATATTATGTATATATATGCAATATATATGTAATTATATACATATATGTAATTATATTTACAGTTAAACTATTCCTACAAATATAAAACATTTATAGGAATTGTAAGGAAAACTTACTTTACTTTTGCTATTCACTTTTTAACAAGCATTTATGGAATGTCTAAGTGCCAAACATTATGAGGCATGAGAATTCAAAGATAAATAGGGCTCAGTTCCATTCTTTATGGAGTATACAGTCTAATGACAAGGTAGACAGCAAAAATGGGACATGTTCTATAAAGAGATACGAAGAGAATAAAGGAGCTTAGTCAAAGGATCAGCCTAGGAAACCAAGGGAAACTTGATGGAGAACCAACATTTGAACAAACTCGTTGACAAGCAGGAATTTTTCAGATGAACCGGGAAGGTAGAAATAGAAGAGAAATTCCAGGAAAATAGAAAAAAAGAAAGATATGGAATCCTGAACAGATTTGACATATCCAGAGCTGCTCGGAAATTTTTTATTGCTAAAGCATAAGGAAAGTAACATCAAGTATTGAGAGATGAGGCTGGAGAGAGGCTAAAGAATTTAGACTTTGTGTCCCACTTCACAGGGCACCAACTGCACTTTTCAAACTGGGAGTTCCATGAGACACAAAGACCATATAGGAAACTGCTACAGTAACCCAGGAAAGACATACTGAGGGCAGTGTCAGTAGAATGGGAGAATAGACTGGATTCCAGAATCATTTCTGGAATCAAATCATGATGCTCTGCTAATAAGGGACTGAGAAGAATCAAAGATGGTACTGAGGCTTCTGGTAAAGGGATCTGAGCTGATCAACAAAGAAATGGAATACAAATTTGGGCAGGCAGGAGAAGTGGGGAAGTGGTGAAAGATGAAGGTAGTAAAATGTTAGTTTAAGATATCTGCAAGACAAGAAGAAAATTTTCTAGTAATGACAATACTCAGTATTTATATTTTTTACTGCATATGAAGTACTTTTACATACGTTCTCTAGGTTGACAGAAAAACCCAGTGAGATAAGAGCATTTCACAGATAAGAAAACCAGAGCTCAAAAGGTGAGGTGACTTGTTACAGGCTACTCAGCTAGTAGGCTACCAGGCTAGAGTCAGAAAAAAAAAATCAGAGTCCTATCTAGTCTTTCAAAAGCCACTCCATACCATAGATAAATTATGGTTAGTTTCCAATTGTTATTGATGACTTAGCATTTTGCTGCTTCCCACTGAGCTAATTTTATTTAATCAATGTTGAGTCCAGAATCACCTAGTCCACACTGGCACTTGAAGTTATGACAATACCCAGAGGAAAAAAATTTAGAGTTAGTGACAATCACGTTACTGGAAAAAATCTTAGACCATTAAGTGTTAGAAGGTTTTTCAGTTCTTCTGACGGAGGAATTCTATGATAGGTTCCCAAAGTAAACTCCAGAAATACATTACAGTTTCAAAGGGTTCCATGGTCTAATTAATTTGGGAATTAATTGCTTTAGATTGCTTTATTGCACAATTTCACAAAGACTTTAATATTCTAAGGTACACTGAAAATTTCTAGGAGTATAATTAAGGATACAGTGTTCCCCAAACGTATCTGACCACTGAACATTTCTCCCAAACATATTTTTCTTTTTGGCTGCACTGCATGGCTTGTGGGATCTTAGTTCCCCGGCCAGGGGCTGAAGCCAGGCCCTCGGCAGTGAGAGCATGAAGTCCTAACTACTGGACCGCCAGGGAATTCCTTCCCCCAAACTTTTAATTTAGAATATCTTATGGGACTAGCACTCTATAGAATACACTTTGAAATACTGCTCAGTAAAACTATTTAAGCAACATACCAACAAATACAAATTAAAGATAATAAATACAAACAGTACATTAGTGCTGAGGGAATGCAGAATAAAAAGGAGGGATGACAATTTGTGGAATTAACTGGGCAAAGTTTCCTGCTCAATATACTGGTTAATTTTGCAGTGAAATTTAGGCAGTAATATGAACTAGGAATACATGTGCTTACCAGTAGAAATCTTTTAAATTGCTGATTGACGCAATTATAAAATAAAAATTGGGGGGACTTCGCTGCTGGTGCAGTAGTTAAGAATCCGCCTGCCAATGCAGGGGACATGGGTTCGAGCCCTGGTGCGGGAAGATCCCACATGCCGTGGAGCAACTAAGCTCGAGCGCCACAACTACTGAGCCTGCGCTCTAGAGCCCATGAAACACAACTACTGAGCCCACGTGCTGCAACTACTGAAGCCCACGCGCCTAGAGCCCATGCTCTGAACAAGAGCCACCGCAATGAGAAGCCTGCACACGGCAACAAAGAGTAGCCCCCGCTTGCCACAACTAGAGAAAGCCTGCACACAGCAATGAAGACCTAACGCAGCCAAAAATAAATTAATTAATTTAATTTTAAAAAGTTTTATTACCATAACTTATAATTTTTAAAAATTCAATTGCCTATACTTGGGGGAGTAAGTAATTACTCTTATACTATTAAGATGGTTAGGTTTTATAGGCTTCTGAAACTTCATCAAAGCTTCTTGTTCTTACTTATTAATTGATGACTGCTTCAAGGGTTCATATGGCCTTTAATCCATCAGAATTTCATTGTAGTCTCAGGTAAAAATCTCATTATTACAGATTCCATTATGAGGAAGGGATCTATATAATAAACTTGTTTTCAAATGTCCCATTCTGAGGTTATGATTTGTCATAATGAATTTTTATAAAGAATGATTTTACACACCAAATGCTTCCTCTTGATTATCCTCTTAAAATAATCATCCTATATTACCGAAGACCATAAATGCTATTCTGTTTGCAGCCTAGAACAGAGAGCTAAGAGCTCCATAATTCTGCCTGGTGATCAAGTCCTTTAACTTCCTTAGTCCTTTCCTACTTCAAACATTCCTACTTAACAAATCTAACTGAACTCCAAATTACTACAATGTAGAGAGACCTGGGAAAATGGAAGGAAAATGTAAGAATCTGAGTTCCTCCAGTTTACTAAGTTCAGGCTTTCTATTCATTCATTGATTCATTATAGAGAGCCTTCATGTACTCCTGCAAACTATAAATCTGATTTCTAATAATACATGCTTCATAACAAAATCATGATATTAAATAGAATTTTTCTTTAATAAAACATTCTTTTAAAAACTAAAGAAATAATAATAGTATTAATGCATGTCTTATTTTGTATTTATGGGGTTAGTTCATTAAATAGAATATCTTTATTATCTCATTCATTATTTTAAATTTTTGAAAAAAATTTGATGTTTTTTTTAGGACATATTACCCATAATCCAAAGCAGACATTATTAGATACATAAGATATTTAAAAGTAAATCACCTGGAGCTACACTAGTGAATTATAATTTATACAGACTAAGGTTCCCTTTTCCCTAGTTAATTTCCGTGCATAATAGGAAAAGAGGGAAAATAAGCACAACCTTTTCTTTTTCTTTTTTTTTTTTTTGTGGTACGCGGGCCTCTCACTGTTGTGGCCTCTCCCCTTGCGGAGCACAGGCTCCGGACGCACAGGCCCAGCGGCCATGGCTCACGGGCCCAGCCGCTCTGCGGCATGTGGGATATTCCCGGACCGGGGCACGAACCCGTGTCCCCTGCATCGGCAGGCGGACTCTCAACCACTGCACCACCAGGGAAGCCCAACCTTTTCTTTTTGGTGCTTTTTAAATTGAGTATTTTAATCAAATGGGAATTTTTTACTAGGGTTACTATAGTCCACTGCTTCTAAAGTAACAGTAAGCAGTTCTACAGACACAGTTGCAAACTTAAGCTACGAAAATTAGGTGATTAATCTGCTCCATTACTTTGGCATTATCCCCACACTGGTTCCTTATCTAAGTCCCTGAATCTGCTGAGGTCCCAAAACGGAGACTTGGATACATAAATACAAGGTTGTTTCCAAACATTCGACCATGTAAACAAAAAGTAAGGGCACAAGATAAAAATATCTGATGATTGCTTTAAAATTCACTACTGAAACTGGAGAAAATATGCCACTCTTCTGCAGATTCATTTACATTTGCTTAACTAGAAAAAGAAAATAGATACAGACATGTTCATGAGCGCTCACATAATGATTCACACACAAATGAACTGGTAAAAAACTGTAACACACTTGAATATTTTATAAGTAGAAGAAAGTTTTCTTACCTTCAGAAGTTCAAAGTAATGTAGACAGTGGTAAACAGGGGCTAGAAGTAGCCTGGGTAAAACATACTGAACAGCTTCTTTGAAACCTTCGCCTATTGACTAGAAAACAAAGTGATTTAATTTTTAAGTTTACTTTTCAGACATCATATATCTTGATCTAAAAACTACTATACCTGCAAATAGAGTGCCGCTCCAGGCTTTGATAACTGACTAAGGAAACGATCATGAAAACCAGGTCGTAAAATATCTCGAGCATATGATTCATATGGATCAAATGCCAGTTCCTTAGAAAATAAAGAAGGCAAAACATAAATAACCTTTCTCCAAGGTAAAGTATAAATGACCTACCACCATAAACACAAAAAGATTAAATTATGGGCACACCTATGCCTGCACAATTATATATTTCTTTTAAAGCCTCTAAACAAAATTAAATTGCTATTAATTTTAACAGCATAAACCTAATATTCTCAATTAAGAAAGTAAATCAATTCTTTCTGATGAGTAATGGGATTCTTATATGTTATGACACCTCTCATGAAAGGGTTCTAGTAGAGTATTATCAACAAACATAGTCAAAAGAATGGGGGGATTTTTAGATCTGGAAAACTAAGTGTAGCCTGAATAATAAAGAACATAGATATCCACAACCAGGTAAAGTATAAACATTTAGAATATTGGTGCCAGACATTTATTTTCTCATGGTTATTTCTTGTTCATAGACTTACACATTCTGCAAGCCAGAGGTAATTGTTTATATCATCTAAAATTCATTGGCACATTTTTCACAAAACAATTAAATAAAAATTTAATCCAAATTGCCAAAAAAATTTTACCATCACCAATCATTAATAAACTAAACAATTCTAAAGGTTAGAATCTACTGGTTTTGATGATTCCTGAGGAAAAAAAGAGTAGGTATTGTGATTTCACCAGGAGGTAGGATTTCTACTCTCCGCCATCCTGTGCTCTATTCCAGGTAAAAATAAAAAGCCAAAACCCCCAAACTATTATGAAGACGGTGTTATAGATTCTAGCAAGAGCTCATTTCTATGAAGGGTAATTCTAGAAAGAGGAAGAGGACATCTAGTGGAGGACTGCAGAAGAATGAAGTTAGGAGTGAATGACAGAACAAATGTTTATTTTCAAATTACCCTTAATGTTTCTCAGACTGTTTTCTTTAAGGAAAGATTCAATAATAACAACACAAGATCAGAAATCAGAAGACCCCAGTTCTGTTCTCTGTGAAATGCAATATGGGATATAAAGATCCAAGTCATCCTAAATTCCTTGAGCTATTTCAGTTCCTTCAACTGTCTTCTCAACTGAAAATTTCTGTAATAATATAACAATGGAAATTGCAGTCCATTGCAGATCTTACAGGAATGGATAGTAGGTTTTCAACAATAACAGCAGGAGGGAGTCAGGTTATGAATAGGCTGGATGGGAGAGAGGAATAAAAATGTGATTGGATGCTTATATCTTGGGTCTCTTGAATTCATGAACTTATATAGAGCAGATGTTTGTCCTCCTCCCCTTTCAATAAACTCTAATTTATTATAGAATTTTTATGACAATTACACATATAAAGTAGACTATACAGACAGTGTAGTGGCTTAAAAGCATGACTCTAGCATCAGAGAGACTCAGGTTCCACTTCTGATTGTACTACTTAACTAGCTGTGTGACCTCTGACAAACTATCAACATTTACTCTCTCTAAGCCAAGTTTCCTCATTGGAAAATGTAGATGATATCTACTTCAAGGAGCTGTTTTAGGAATTAAATGAGATACACGCAAAGTGCTTGCAATAGCGTATGCACATAATAAGCGGTGAATAAATGGTATCTAGTATTATCATTCTAAAATAGCTAATTTCAAGAGAGAAAAAAATTGACAACTAACTGGAAATCCAAGCTCTTATCACATAGTTTTATTCTTGAGGATAAATTTATAGAATGGCAAGCACTTCTAAGAATCCTCGTATAAATTAATAGATGATATTATGATCAGTTTACTGGTTAAATGCAATACTTATAAGATTCATTTAAAAATTTAATTATTGATACATGCAACTGTGTATTAACAGTTAAAAATATAGACTATTCTAAACATACAGAAAAGTAAAGAAAACAGTTTAACAACCATATTCACCACCTAGCTCAAAAAGAGCTCAACATTTTATAACACTTCACCTTTTTTTATTTTTTAAAGAAATAAAACAGTAGAGATGTAATTGATGCTCCTGGGCTCCCTTTCAGAAGCTAATTTCCTCTCCTGCTAATCCCCGGAGGAAATCACTATCCTGAATTTGAGTATTTCCAAGTATATTTTTATACCATAATTACATATGTATCAAGAAACAAGGCAATGTTTTCAAATTTTATATAAATATTGTAATGTACACAGTAACAATAAATTCTTCTGCAATTTGGTTTTTATATTCTTGTTTTAATGATTTATCCAATATGATTCATATAGTTCCTTACAGTTCATTTATTTCAAACTCTGTATAATATTCCACTGTATAAATATATTTTTAGGTAAATTTTTTACTCTGAGATAATTTAGATTCACATGTAGTTGTAAGAAATAATACGGAAAGATTCTGTCTGTCTGCACACTACCCAGTTTTCCCCAGTGGTAACCTCTTAGAATAGTACAATATAGTGCAATATCACAACCTGGCCATTGACACTGATGTAGTAAAGTATAAAATATTTCCAACACCACAAGGATGGCTCTTGTTGCCACCCTTTTATAGCCACACCTCCCTCCTTCCCATCACAGCCTCTTTAGCCCCCAGCAACCACTGATCTATTCTGCATCTCAATAGTTTTTTCATTTCAAGAAAGTCATATAAAAGGAATTACACAGTATGCAACCTTTTGGAATTGCTGGATCATACATTAATTCTTTAACTTTTTGAAGAACTGTTTTCCATAGCAATTGTACCATTTTATTTACATTCCCACCAGCAAAGTTTGAAGGTTCTAATTTCTCCACATCTTCTCCAACACTTGGTATTTTCCTTTCATTTTAAAAATTTAATTCTAGCCGTCTTAGTGAGTGTGAAGTGGCATTTCATAATGGTTTTGATTTGCATTATACTTATGACTAATGATGCTAAACATCTTTTCATGTGCTTATTGGCCATTTTTATATATCCTTTGGAGAAATTCCTATTCAAAATCCTTTGACCATTTAAAAACTGAGTTGTTTGTCTTTTTTGTAAGAGTTCTTTATATACACTGAATATATCAGATATTATCAGACATATGATTTGCAAATATCTTCTCCTGTTCTGTGTGCTGTCCTCTTTTTTTTTTTGCGGTATGAGGGCCTCTCACGGTTGTGGCCTCTCCTGTTGCAGAGCACAAGCTCCAGACGCGCAGGCTCAGCGGCCATGGCTCACGGGCCCAGCTGCCCCGCTGCATGTGTGATCTTCCCGGACCGGGGCATGAACCCATGTCCCCTGCATCGGCAGGCGGACTCTCAATGACTGCGCCACCAGGGAAGCCCCCTGTCCTTTCACTTTTGATGGTACTCTTTGAAGCACGAAAGTTTTACATTTTAAGTCTAAATTACGTATTTTTTTTCTTTTCTCACTCATGCTTTTGGTGTAATATTTAAGAATCCTTTACAAAGTCAAGGTCATGAAGACTTAGCCATGCTTTCTCCTAAGAGCTTGATAATTTTAGTTCTTATATGAAGTCCCTGATCCATTTTGAACTTATGTTTATATATGGTGTGAGGTAAGGAGTTCAATTTCATTCTTTTGTGCTTCTCGTAACTTTATGGTTTTTGTGTGTGAACAAAAGTTTAAAAACTTTAATCTCTTCTTTTATGGTTTGTACTTTCTATGTGTTCTTTAAAAAACCCTTCCTACTTCAAAGTGATAAATATGTTCTCCTGTATTTTCTTCTGAACTTCTAAAGTTTTGCTTTTCATTTTTAGATTTTATTTAAACTACCGAGAGTTTTTCCTGTATGATGTGAGCTAAGGAAGGAATATTTTCTTTCCACATGGAAAACCAGTTTTGACCCAGCATCATTTATTAATTAGTTTGTTATTTCTCTACTGATTGAAATGTAATCTCTGTCACATATCATGTGTATGTGTATTCTTTTCCAGGGTGCTCTATTCTGTTCCACTAATTGTCTATATCTACAACTAATAATGTGGCTTTGTAATAAATCGTATTTACTGTGGCTTTGTAATAAATCTTAAAATCTGATAGGACAAGTCCCCTCAACTTGTTCTTCCTCAAAATTGTTATTTTTGTCCCTTCATTCTTCCACATGAATTTTACGATCAGCTTGCTGATTTATAGATTATTCGGGGACAACTGCATCAATACAATATTGAGTCTTTCCATGAACATGGTATTTCCATTTCTTCAGATTTTCCTTATGAATATCATTATTTTATGATTTTCTTAACAAAAGTCTTGCATATATATGTTTATTGGGTTTATTTCTGAATACCTTATAGTTTTGTTTCTAGAGAGAATGGAGCCTTTCTCCTTTAATATTATACATTCACTTGGTTGGCAACTATACTGAACTTGCTGTGTAGACAATTATGTTGACTACAAATAGGACAATTTTGTCTTTTCTATTCTTTTTCTGTCTTTTGGTTAGTATCTCTATTAGAGTGCTGAAAAGAGATAGTGAGTGGCATTCTCCTACAGCTTAGTCATTAAATATATCTTTTATAGGTTTTTGATAGATATCCTTTATTAGATTACGAAAGGTCCCTTCTATTCCTACTTTGCTCAACATTTTAAAGAAATTCCTGAATGAATGTTTTTCTATGCTTTTTCTTATTTGTTAAGATTTTAATGTTAATGTGAAATATTACATTAACTTTTTAAAAATTTCAAACCACTTAAGAGTAAACTTCCTAAGATATATCATACTGGTCACAGTTTTTATTTAGATTATAAACTGATTACTTTTCTTTGCCAGTTGTGTCAGTATGTGTGAGTGGTTCATTTTTTTCTTGTATTACTCTTATCCAGTTTTGATAATATATGTATCGATATATAATCCTAAAAAATTGAATTGCCCTTTGTGTCCCTATTTTTATTTTCCTTATGAATCTATTTTGTGGTTTTCCAAACAAAAATCTTGCATATGTTTATTGGGTTTACTTCTGAATACCTTATGGTGCTATTTCTAAACTGAATGGAGCAGTGGACAACTTTCAAAAGAGTAAGGTTAACTGTTTCTTGAAGACTGGTAAAACTCCTAATACTTAGTGTATGCCTCATGTCATTTGTTGAAACATAGATTTGATTATTCAATTTTTAATGGTTTTTAAGTTAATTAGGATATCTATTATTTTTAAGGATATCTATTTCTTAAGTCAATTTTCCTATTTATATTTTTTAAAAAGTTAACCACTCCATCCCAGTTCTCAAACATTTTCAAATGGATCTCAGCATTCCTGAATGATTTTAAAAGTTGCAATCTGTAGTTATAACTTTTTCATCTTAATATTTATGCTTTTCCTTTTTTCTCCCTTGATCAACATTATTAGAGGTTTTGTTCTATCTGTTGTGTGCTTTCTAGTTCATTAATTCTGTTCTTCTATTACTTCCTTTATGTTGTTTCTATTATTATCATCTCTCAAATTTACATTATCTTTCCTGTTTCTTGGACTGAAACCTCTACTCATTTATTTTTAGTTATATCTACTTTTTAAAATATATGTCTAAAACTGTAAGTTTTTCTTTATGCATTGCTTTAGTTGCATCTTACAGGGTTTTGTATATAGTACTTTCACTTTTGCTCAATTTCAAGTATTTTGTAATTTTCATTGTCACTGCCTCTTTAATCCATGAGATATTTAGAAATTCATTTTTAAGATTTCCTACTGTGATTTCTAATTTAATTTCATAGTCAGAAAAGATGGTATATTTATATGCTATTATGTAATATTTGAGACTTCCTTTTTTTTTGAGACTTCTTTTTTATCTAATACTGTAACCAATTTTTGTAAATATAACTGGTATCTTGAAATGAATCTAGAATCATCCATATATACATAATCAAACCTGTTCATTTTCTTATTTTAACTTCTATAGCCTTAATCTTTTTTCTGTTTGTGATAGAGATGTGCTACAATTTCCTATCATAATAGTAAATTTTTTTCCATTTCTTGTAATTCTGTCAGTTTCTATTTCTTATATTTTGAGGCTTTATAATCAGGTACACATACATTCATGATTGTTATATCTTCATGACATTGTCCCTTTTCCTATTTAGGTAGTGTTCCTCTCTAATGTCCTCCCCACCAAGCTTACTTTTCCTAATTATATCAATTGATATTTATATACTAGCTTCCCTTTATTTGTTTTCATATGTTGACTTTTCAATCCCTTTATTTATTTTATTTTTTGCGGTACGCAGGCCTCTCACCATTGTGGCCTCTCCCGTTGCGGAGCACAGGCTCCAGACACGCAGGCTCAGTGGCCATGGCTCATGGGCATAGCCACTCTGTGGCATGTGGGATCTTCCCGGACCAGGGCACGAACCTGTATCCTCTGCATTGGCAGGCAGACTCTCAACCACTGCGCCACCAGGGAAGCCCAATCCCTTTATTTTAAATATTTCTGTGGTTCTGTATTGGGTGTGTCTCTACAAGCTGCAAAAAATGGACTTTTAAAAATAAAAAATAAGTACTTTCTTTAAATAGGCGAGTTTCATCAGTTTACATATACTGAGTTACTAACATAGTAGTATAATGTAGTTGGATTTATTTGTATCATATTACAGTCAGCCCTCTGTATCTGTGGGTTCCACATCTGCTGATACAGAAGGCCAACTGTACTATGCCATTTTAAATGAGGTTACTTTACTTTTCCTTTACTTCATTATTCCTTCCTATTATCAGTGGAAAAGATTAAAAAGTGTTCCTACAGTTCTTGTACATTGTAAGATATAGGTAGTATTTCTATTCTTTTGGTGATCTTCCTAAATGTTTTAAAATCAAATAAAGTTTGTTATTATCTATATATTTTTCTAAATTTTAAAGAGAGTTTACAGTTGTTTAGTTTTTCTTATCTTCTGAATACAAGCCCATTTTATGTGCTGAGAAGTTTAGTTTACCTTCCCTTTTAAATAAAAAAAAAAACAGTTTGGTTTTTAAAATATTCAGTAGCTTGGGCTTCCCTGGGAGCACAGCAGTTAAGAATCCACCTGCCAATGCAGGGGACACGGGTTTGAGCCCTGGTCCGGGAATATCCCACATGCCGCGGAACAACTAAGCCTGTGCACCACAACTACTGAGCCTGTGCTCTAGAGCCCGCAAGCCACAACTACTGAGCCCGTGCGCCACAACTACTGAAGCCCACGCACCTAGAGCCCGGCTCTGCAACAAGAGAAGCCACCACAATGAGAAGCCTGTGCACCGCAACGAAGAGTAGCTCCCGCTCTCCGCAACTAGAGGAAAGCTTGCGCGCAGCAATGAAGACCCAACGCAGCCAAAAATAAATAAATAAGATAAATAAATTTATAAAAAAATAATTCAGGGCTTCCCTGGTGGTGCAGTGGTTGAGAGTCCGCCTGCCTATGCAGGGGACACGGGTTCATGTCCCGGTCTGGGAAGATCCCACATGCCGCGGAGCGGCTGGGCCTGTGAGCCATGGCCGCTGAGCCTGCGCATCCGGAGCCTGTGCTCCACAACGGG